TTTTACCTGCAGGCCCAGGCCCACCTCCGCCGCGACCCGGCCCCAATGCGGCTCCTATGCTGGAGCGCGCCCGTCTGCCTGCACCTCTCGTTGTCGCCACGAACGCCGCCGTGCCGCCGCTGGCCCCCAGGGCCCCTCCACCCGATGACTCCGAAACCCTGGCCCTGCAGGATCTCGCATGATCCGGCGCCCTGGCCGAACCCCGTTTGCAGTTGCGGCGGCACGCGGGCGCAACCATTGGGGCCTTGGGCGCCGCCCCCCACGGGGCCGCGACACGCGGGGGGGTCTGCCAAAGCGAGGGGGGCAGCGGCATGCGAGCGCAGTCACTAGGTCCTCAGGTGGAGCCCCCCACGGGACCGCGAAACGTCTGAGGAGCGCGCCAGCATGAAGGGGCGGCGGCATGCGGGCGCAGCCATTGGCGCCTTAGGCGCAGCCTCCTCATGGGGCCACGAGATGCGCGAGGCGCGAGGGGCGCGCCAACATGAACGGGGCGGCGGCCCGCGGGCGAAGGCGCCTGGGCCCTAGGAGGAGCCCTCCACGGGGCCACGAAGCGTAAGTAGCGCGCCAACAAGAAAGGGGGCGGGGGCATGCGGGCGCAGCAATTGGGGCGTCAGGTGGAGCCCCCCATAAGGGGCCACGAAACGAGCGAGGGGTGTGCCAAAAATGAAGGGGCGGCGGCATGCGGGCGCAGCCACTGGGGCCGGTCCGGCCTGCGCCCAGCGCGAAGGCGACCCCGAACGGGCTCCATCTCGATGTCCACGACTGCCGAAGACTGGTGAATCGCCAACAGGGGGGGACGACCCATGGCGTCGCACGATGCAGCCCCAGTCGGTCGCTTCGGCGTCTCGAAGGGCCCGCCACGCTGGAAAGCCGCGACCCATCTCTCTTTATCGGCGCACTGCCATCTCCGTCTGCGGCCCCTTGTGGCGGCTGCGCCGTCGCGCCAGCCACCGCTTCAACTCGCTCCTGCCTCGGGGAGCTCGCAGCCTCTGTCGCAGCGCACGCACTGGCCGAGCTGCGAGCCGCCGACGCCGCACTGGGCGTCGGCATTTGAACCCGCATTTGGGCAAGCCTGGTGGCTCCCATCGCCGGGGCCTGCGCCCTAGCCGAGCCAAACTCCCCGCTGATCTGCCGCCGCTACCCGTGGCCATGCTGCCAGACATGGCCCTGTACATACTCTGCATCATGCACTGCATCTGCACAAAATCATGCTGCAATGGCTGCGTCGACATCTCAACCATCCGGCTGACTGCCTCCTTCGACAGCGTTGATGGTCTCTGTGAAGCCGATGCGCTCCCAGTTGCTGGTGCCCTCGGCGAGCGGGAGGCAGGCTGCCCTGAAGGAACACCAGCAGTAGAGAGCGGTTGCTGCGTATATCCATCGTGTTCCATAGCCGCCTGTTCTGTTCTGCCTCCACTGCTTCTCGACGCTGCTTTTCCTCGGCATGGATCGCCGCGCCCATGAACTTGAGCTCATCTTTGCTCCTCATGGGCACCCGCAAGTGGTCCTGCGAGATCCTCAGTTCCGCGTACTTATTGTCGGTGGGCCGCTGAGCACCGTCTGCTTTTTGCTGAAAATGTTCGATCATCTTGTTGCTCCGGACGGTGGCGGCATCCACCCATGTACACTGCTCTAACACTTTTCCGCGATGAGCATCCTGCGGTACATTCCACTGAATTTCACCGCGCTGGTCGTGTCCTCGCCCATTGCCCACTGCAACTTGTATTGCTGCTGCGCCAGGGCAAATGTGCTCGTCACCGTTTTGTAATACTCGTCCTTTTCCTCGCTGGTGGTTCCGGGCTTCAATGGCTAGCACGCCTTGCTCTGCAAAGCTTCGCAAGGTGTGGCCATCCGAACCAAGGGCGACCCGCCGTCGAGGGGAACCACCAACGCGTCGTCATGTTCCTTCCACGGTGCTGTCCACCCACGCGGACCGCGCGGTTCGATATCCCTCTTCGGCGGGCGCTCCCCGCGCGCGCTTGTGGCACGGGCGCGAGCCGTCGCGGCTGGAAGCGAGGCGTCCGACTGTCTCCAATGCTGTCTGCACCTTCCAGTGGGTTTGCCCCTGCCCGTCGCTCTCGCCACGGATACACTTCCAAGTCATGACTGCTGTCGCGGTTTGGGTCCCATGTTGACCCCATGCTGACATTGTCCGCGGCGGTCTCTGAACACTGGGATTTGTACTCAACCCCTCCTGCGCCCGAGCGAGGCGTAGGAGAATCCGACACCACGAGCGGCGCGCTCGGCAGCGCGTGTGCCACCCTGGTTCTGTGGAACGGATGTAAAGAATATCTGGTAGAAATTGCGGACAGGGAGTTGCGAACCCATGACATGCAAAGAGCAAGGCAAGTTTGCTTGCCCCCTGTGTCCATAGGAAACATAGGAAACGTGTTTCGGCCGTACGCCTGACTGGGGACCCTCCTCCTACTACTCCTCCTCCTTCTCCTCCACCACCTCCTCCTCCTCCTCCTCCTCCTCCTCGGGGTCCCTCCGGCGCACGCCGCCGCACGAAGCGAGGTCGTCCTTGCACCCCTACGATTGGGCCGGGCCGGAATTGCCCCCCGACGAGACGCACAAGGACACACTAGTACCATGTGTCCTTCTCGGAGGCGTGCGTCCGACCTGAACATGTAGTAGAGGCATCTTGGTCGACAAGCCCAAGTGCGATGACAATCTCAGGGATGCGCCCTCAGAAACTGAGGGAGTCCTTGAGATCGGCATCGACGCTGCGTCGAGCGTCCCTCGACTTTAGTCGAAATTGAGTCGAACTTGAGTCGGACTCGAGTCGAGATATAGTAGGCCTGAAGTCGAACCAGAGTCGAACCAGAGTCGAGCAGATCCGTCAGCCGTCAGGTGGGCCCCAAGAATGTCCACAAGGCGAGAGTCTAGCAGGTCGGCCGAAGGAGAGGCCTCGCGGCCTGGGAGACGATGAGAAACGAATGAGGAGGACGAGCGTTTTCCTGCCGCCTTTCCAGCAGAGTACATGAGGGCGAATTGCCCACATGCTAGCAATCACAACCATACCCAAGATCAAAGTGCTCGTGCTGAAGTGCTTCTATAATGCCACCTTGCTTGGCGATCGGCCTTCGCCTTCACCAGCTGTAGCTCAGTTTCGCGACGAGTGCTCAGCGGCCAATGCCGAGTGCATCATGAAGATCAAAGGGGCCCAGCCGCCACTTGTCTCGATGCGTCCGGCATCGCGCGCAGGAGCGATGCCGTGCACCACCTGGAAGCGAACTCGGGTCTAGACACAAAATCCCGCCAGCCGTGTTTTAGAGGCGTTTCCTCTTCCATCTTCCATCTTGGGATATGACGTCTCACCCAGACCTTTATTACACGGCATGCTCCTCCACATCCCTGGTGAGGGCAGCTCGTCTGGGCATCGTTTCTGGATGGGCTGGTGGGGTTACGCGAAGCGTCTAGAAGTGTATGGTAAATGCACGGCCAAACGATAAGGCCGCTCCTGAGCAGGCTCTTCACAGCAAGCGCCACCAGCGGCCTCCGAGCCTTGGTGCAGAAACCCTGAGGCGTTGGGAACCTGCGCAGCGCAGCGCAGGGCAGTAGGCCACAGCGATTCCGAGCGCAGTGCAGAGCCTTCGGGTCCGATCCCAACTGAGCGACGAAAAGAAGCGGATCTCACGCGAGATTTCGCGGGCCGCCAGCGCGGCACGCTGCATCCACAACGAGGGCGCTCCCGCGCGACCTCATGCAGGTAGGTTACGCGAGAATGTCCGCGAAGTCGGCCCCGTTCTCCTGCGTCGCTCCACTGGCCAATGCAGAAGGACAGGGGCCGCTTGGGGATGGCCCGAGGGTGGATCAAGCGAGCGCCTGCTCGGCCCCCGCTCCACGGGCAGCTGGCCCGCCCCACCTAAACGCCAGCGGGCGCCGCGGTAGACGCCCTGCTCAACTGGGCCCTCTCCTGTGCCTCCTCTGGGCCGCGGGAGGCTGGTGGCAGCGCTGGCCAAGGAACCGCTCGATGACAAGTCGTCCGCTGAGGGGGTCGCTCGTTCCTTCGCCAACGCCACACCGCCGTACCCAGCGGTCGGTGGATGCGGACACATTTCAGCCCCAGGTGCCCCGATTATATATATACCTACATACATACATACATACATACATATATATATATATATATATATATATATACAAGTGGCACGTGTGTATGTATATATATATACAGATACACGTGTGTGCCCAGGCTCATACCAAAAAAGTGAAAGGGCGTTTGAAGCAGGACGAGGCTCCAAGAGGCCCCAGGATTGTGAGTGTTGTGTGGGTGTGTGTGTGTGTGATGTGTGCTGTGTTGTGCGTGTTTTCTGTGGGTTGTATGTGTTGTATGTGTTATGGTTGTCTAGCGTGTGATGTGTTGGGTGTGATGTGTGTCTCTGTGTGTGCATGCAGTTCTGAGGCCCCAGGAGGCCCCAGGAGACCCCAGGAGGCTCCAGGAGGCCCCCAGGAGGCTCCAGGAGGCCGCAGGAGGCCCCAGGAGGCCCCAGGAGGTTCCAGGAGACCCCCAGGAGGCCCCGAGGCGGGATCTAGGGTACCAGAAGGCACAGAAAGCCCCAGGAGGCCCCAGGAGGTTCCAGCAGTCCCCCAGGAGGCTCCGAGGCGGGGTCTGGGGTACCAGAAGGTACGTCGGGGCTCGATGTTTGGGGGGATGTCTCAGGCGTCACCGCCATTCTCTGAGAATCGGGGCCAAAATCATTGGAATTACCATGTGTTTTTGAAGGTTTTATGTTAAAATGTTGAAATTCCCATGTGTTTGTGGACCCTGACGTCACGATCTGTGTGAGGGGTGCCACCGATGTTCAGAATTTCGAGGATATCCCTTGCGAAACGGCCAGACAAATCGCGAACGACGCGGCGCGTACGCATTAATCGCCTCTGAGCTCTACTCCCTCGGAGAGGTGCGTCTGATAATATATATATATATATATATATATATATAAGTAAATACATATACGTATACACATATATCCATAACCTCCGCCTGCTGAGGTCCCCGAAGATCGATCCCCCAGTCGGCGGTAGTAATGGGTAACTCACCACCTCGGAGAGAAGCCGGCGCGGCAGGGCATGCCGCCGCACGGGCTCGCGCAGCAGCTGCTGCTGCCCAGCAGCAGGTCCGAGGCCTCGTGACCGACACGGCGGACAGAGCAGCGCAGGGCCTGCGCGACAACGCCAACGCTCGCGACTGAGAGCACCGCCGTGGCAGTTGCAGTGGCCGAATCGGTCTGCCTTTCGAGAAAGGGCTGCAACCGGTTCCGCCCCTGCGTGAGATGTTTGTCTGGGGTTCGACGGCAGCGCGCTTCTGACAGCCCGCGGCTGGACCCTCCCGCAGTCGAGGCAGCGCGACGTCCAGGGCGGTCACACGCTCTGTACGCGGAGAGCTGTCCTCGCTTCTCGAGTGAAGCTGAAGGCTGGACTCCCCAAAGACTGTAACCATGCCGAGCAATAACAACCAATATGCACGAACACTACGACGCTGGTTGGAGGTCTGGAAATGGCCACCAACACCAACAACGGGGGTTGCCTCCACAGGGGGAATCTGATCCTAGATTTCGGTGTTGGTGGTAGTAATAGTTCGGCCACCTTTGAAGCCAGAATATGACCACCATCACCGAGATCGGGATCTTCGTCCCTCGGTGGAGGCACACCGCCGAAATGGGTGCTGGTGCCAACCTCTAGGCCTGCGAGCTGGACCCAGCCAGGTGCACCTTTCACGACGACCGTGGCTCTCGCTCTCTCTCTCTCTCTCTCTCTCTCTCTGACTACCTACCAGAACACCCCAACCCAACCCGAAGACCCGAATTTGACCCGAATTTCGGGTTGGGGGGGGTACGGATACCATGTGTTTTTTCAACGTTCCCCGACCCCCCCCCCACTGGAAATCGAGGATAAATTTGGGCCTTCGGGTTGGGTTGGGGTGGTTTGGTGGGTGGTGACTCTCTGCGACGGCCCGCCTCCAGCATGTCAGACGCAAATCAAATCAGACACCTCGGGCCAGCTGCGGGGCAAGGCGAGCCTCCTGCTGCTGCCGACCGCCCCCATCGGGCGGCTGTCCCCCCCCCCCCTCCCTGCGGCCTCGGGCGGTCGAAAAGGGCCCTCGTGCTGCCGCGGGGGGAAGGCCGAAGAGGGAGCGAGAACGGGGCTGGTCTGGCCACGGCGAGCCTCGGCCACGGGTGGGTCACCCGGCCTGGATCTGGGGAACGGCCCGAAACCCAGACCCCCCTCCTGAGGCCAACGCGGCCCCCGTTCGGCGCCGTTGCTGCAGGGCGGGGGCCCGTTCCGTGTTCGGCCCCATCGCAACAAGCTGCACTGGAGCAGTCCACGATGCGACGGGCGCAGAGGTCTGACGCAGCGTCGGTGGCAACTCATGGGAGCCTCCCATGCCATCTTGCTGGCTCTCGCGAATCGACGCCATCCGACGCTAATCGGCGCTAATCGAGGGGCTAATCGACGCTAGCCGACGAGAATCGGGGAGAAATCGGCCATCGATTACCAGACGCTAGCGCACGCCAATACCCTCCAAATGCGGGATTGAGGACACACAAGGCTCCCTTGATTTGCTGCCGAACGCAGCGGCACGCCAGTATCACCACGCGGCTCTTAGGAAGACGAAGCAATGGCAGGGACAGAAGCTGTCGGGGCTGCGCGGAGCGCGCCAGGGGCGACGCGGGAGGGAACCCGAAAGGGGCTCCGAAAGCTTATGGTGAAGCTGCTGTTTCTTCTTCAGACCAGGAGAGCCCAGAATCGAATCGATAACTCGGATCGGCGATCGGAATGAATCGGATCGGCAGAGATCGGAGGCCGAGTCGGGAAGAGTCGAATCGGCAGAAATCGGCAGGCTGGTATGCCTCCAAGAAGAAATCGGAACCCAAATCGGAATCCCAAGTCGAATCGAATCGGAATCGAAGCAATCGAAATCGAATCGAATCGAATCGAAGGGAATCGAAACAAGCCCTGTCAGGCTCACTCGGCAGCGCCAAAAAAAAGATGCGGCAGCACGCTGTAGCAGGGCTGCATATCTCTGCGTGAATCGCTGTCCCGCGAACCCTGCTCGTGGACCTCGGTGGGCGTGGCTCCTGCTTGCACGAGGGCGATGTCGTAGGCAGGGCAGATGTCCCCCCCCCCATATTTGACCTACAAAAGATGCGGCAAGACACTCGGCCACCTGATCGCACAGATCCACGTGACTCGGCGTTGGACGTGGAACTCGTGCGCGTGCCGTCCGCATCACGAGCCAAGTGCAGATGGAGCGCGAAGCAGAGACAGCGATACCAATGACGATGGATTTCAGCGTTGTGCGTGCATCCCCTAAACGCAACGAGCAGGTCACGAAGTAAGGCCCACAAGTGCGAAAGAAGGGAGGAGGAGGAGGAGGAGGCGGAGGAGGAGGAGGAGGAGGAGGAGGAGGGAGGAGGAGGAGGTGGAGGAGGAGGAGGAGGAGGAACAGGAGGAGGAGGACGACGAGAAGGAGGACGAGGAGGAGGACGAGGACGAGGAGGCGAACGACCGATGCGAACAACGTGCGGCGAAAGCACACGGGGCGAGGACGCGGCCGCGGGGTGTGAGCCACCCGACCCCGAAGTTTGGCGCGCGCGCCCGCGCCATAAGAGGAGGACGGGAGGAGGAGGAGGAGGAGGAGGAGGAGGAGGAGGAGGAGGAGGAGGAGGAGGAGGAGAGGAGGCGGAGGAGGGGGAGGCGAAGGCGGAGGCTGAGGGGGAGGAGGAGGAAGAGGAGGAGGAGGAGGAGGAGGAGGAGGAGGGGGAGGAGGGGGAGGAGGGGGAGGAGGAGGAGAGGGAGGAGGAGCAGCCGCGGTGCGTCTCAGGAAGCATTTGGGCAGTCGGCAGGTGTGACAGCGGCCGCGGCAGTCTCTCGGGATCCAGTGCCTCCACCCCGCCTCTCGCGGGCCGCCCGGGCGGCAGCTGAGCGGGCCCGAGCTGCATCCAACAGGAGGCGCACGTGCGCGTAGGCTTTCCCGTTTGTCGCGGAGGACGTCGTGTGGGACCCCTTGGTCGGCTTCCAGTGGCCAGCGATCGCGCAGGCCTCGGCATCCGGGAGCAGGCGGACGTCGGCCCGCTATGGATCGCGTGGGCTCCGCATCGGGAAAGCCTCCAACCCGGGACCGACTGGCCGGGCCAATGCCGACTGGGCGGTCTCCGAGCAGCCGTCGCGGAGGCAGACGGTTTCGTGCAGGTGATGCCATCGCCCTTTCGAGCCCGGCGATGCTCGAGTCCGATCCCGTCATTCAGATATTCGACAAGGAAAACGCTTCCACCCCGCCTGCATTCCTGGAGGGCTGGGGCCATAGGAGGACATCGAGGGGGTGTCAGAGCTTGGGGAGGAGGCGAGGGCGCAGATCATCTCTTTCGCCGATGGGGAGGGGATGTCCCGGGAGGCGTACGTGGCGAGCAATCTCAGGCGCCAGCACCGCGTCCAGCCAGGATTCTGAGCCGCCAGACCCGCCGCTTGTCCGCGAAGCTGATGATCCAGATGGGGTTTTTGAGGACGGTGTTCTGAAAAATTTGGATTGGCGGGACTACGCGGCGGCTCGGGACCTTGAATGGGTCTCCACGATTGCCCACATTCCAGAGTCTCTCCTCCACGCGTCTCGAGGCCCGGGCGGCAGTGTTGGTGGCGTTGCAGCAGTGTGATCCTCAGAGCGTGGAGGCAGCAGGCTTGTGGGAAGCTCTTGGATTATATCGACCGTTTACTCGTTGCCCGGACCCCGTCGCGCAAGGGAGCGAAGCAGAGAAAGGTTGACCAGACCATGTCCCAACGTCTGCATTTGTTATGGAGGGGCTCGCGGCAACAACTCCGGAGCATGGCCCGGCAGAGCGGCCGAGAGGCCCGGTATTCCACGTCAGAAGGTACCTCCGACGCAGAGGCTCGCAGGATCGAGTCGCTGCTGCTGGGCAGGCGAAGCGCCCAATGCCACGGCCGCCTTGGCGGGGAAGGCGGAGATGGAGGCTCGCCCGGGCACCGCCGAGGAGCTGAAGGCGCCGTCCGACCCTGATGCTTCTGGACTGGCAGGGGCCGCACCTGGGGCCATGGAGGTGGAAGCGCCGGGAGCGCAGCAGAGGTCCGCCATTGAGCAGGAAGTCGCTGCGCGCATCTCACGCTTTCCGCGGCTTGCTGGGGCGGGGCCTTCAGGGTCCAGATACGAGCATTGGGGAATATTGCAACACCACCCAGACGGTGACCAGGCAGACGCCGCGGCCCTTACAGACTTCTGTTCGGAGAGGTGCCGGAGGACACTCTCAAGGCTCATCTCGGAGGTCGTCTGCTGGCTTTGAAGAAGGCGGATGGCAGTGTCCGGCCGCTGTCTTGTGGCAGCATTCTGCGGCGCATCATCGCCAGAGCGGCGTGCAAGGTGGAATCTGGCGCACTCCGCGAGCTGGGAGGGCCGCACCAACATGGCATATCCTGGCCTCATGCACAAAATCCTTGTGGCGCCCACTGAAGAAAGTCCTGCTGCGGTGTTCTTGTATTTCGATTGCAAAAACGCTTTCAAAATGATCACACGGCCAGCCATACGGACGGCTTGTGCAGGAACGCTGTTGGGTCGCATAGCCGATGCATGGTGCCGCGGTTCGACGACGCATTGGTTTTGGGATTCTTATGGAAAGGCTTGGCCAGTTCATACTGCTCGGGGCGATGACCAAGGCTGCCCAGCCCTGCGCTGTCCTGTGCTGCGCTGGCCCAAGCTTCGGCGTCGATCGATCAGCGGCTTCGCTCTCTGGATCCGCTGGCGCGGGCGTGCGCTTACCTGGACGATGTTTTTGTTGTTCTCGACGCCCGCTTCGTCGCGGAGGCCGTCTCAGGGACGAGGGAGGCGCTGCAGGGCATCGGTTTGGAGCTTCAACTGAACAAGTCCAAACTGTGGATGCCCGACCCCGCTGCCTCCATGCCGGCGCAGGTCGCTATCCAGAGGGCGAGCGAGCTCCGATGTCTCGGTAACGCAATGCGCCTTTTCACGGCAGGTCTCGACGAGGACGATCAGCGTCGCCTCGGGCCCCCCCCCTGACGCCAGACAGTCGTTTCGAGGCATCGTTGGAGGCGCTGGATTCTTTCTTGGGCAGGACGCAAATCATTTTCACCAAAACGTTGCGCGTTCAGACTGCTTTCATGTTGCTGCGTACTTTTGTGGGCGGGGCCAACAACCACCTGCTCAGAGGCTCTTGTGCGAACGAAGCCTGGCGCGCGGAGTACGACTGCCGAGTTGTTGCTTTCCTCGAGCAGCTTCTCGGCGCCCAGCTCACCCCGCGCCAGCAGCAGCAGCTGCGGCTGCCGTGCTGGGACGGAAGCCTGGGGTTCCATTCCGCTCGTCTGACCCACCCGGAGTGCTGCATATATCGCCTCCTGGCAACAGTGCCTCTCAGACGTCGCCGCGGCGCGGGGGTTGCTCTCGGCCGACGCTCTCCTCGCCCGGGCGCCGCGCACGGGCGCTGCCCTGACGGTCGCGGGGGACGAGCTCCGTCCTCGTAAATGCCAAGACCATCAGGCCGATTGGGCGGCTTGCTTCGTTTCCAATCGCGTGAAGCAGCAGAAGGCGTTGATGAAACACGTCAGCACAAAGTGCAGGAAGACTTTGCTGCAAGACCTCGACGACCCAGGTCGCGCCGATTTGCGGTCTGCGGGCGACAAGGGCGGTGTTTTCCTGCTGCCGTCCACAGACAAGAGCCACCTGGTGCTGGATGAGCACTTCCTCGTGGCATTGCGCCTGCGGCTGCAGATGTTGCACCCCGGAGCTCAGCGCACACGCCCGCCCGCCAGCACTTGCGGGCACAGGTCGTCACAGCTAGGGCAAAAGTGCGATTGCGGCTTGGACGACCGGGGGCGTCATGCTGTGGCGTGTGAAGTCGGCGGCGGAGTCGTTGTGTGGAGGCATGATAAGATTCGCGATTGGTTGGCGGCGTGAGTCGCTGCCGCCACGGGGGGCCCAGTGCTCACCGAGCAGTTCGTTCCGAAGTGGGACCGACGAGTGGAGGTGGACGGGGAGGAGCAGGCTGAGCGCGCACGCTTGGACGTTTTCAATGACCAGAACGCCAAGCGCGCATACATCGACGTCTGCGTCCCCGCTGCGTTTTCCACTTGTCCTGAACTGCTCCGGGTGCGGGCGGCGCGGGATGGCGCGGCGGCCGGGCGGGCCGAGGAAGGCAAACGCCTTTTGCCGTGGAAGCCCTTGGCCGACCAGGCGCCGACGCCATTGCCCTCCTCCGCGCGTGCGCGCCACAGGACCCTTCTGAGCGGTCGCAGGTTCTAGGCTCCGCTTGGCAGTCGTTGTCCGCATTGCTGCAGACCCAGAACGCAAAGCTCTTGATGCCCGCCGAATCGGCTTGATGCGTCGCCGTTTGTTGCTCAAGCTGTCCTCCCCCTTCCCTCCTCCTCCTCCTCCTCCGCCGCGTCCTTCTCCTCTTTCTCCTCGCTCCTCCGTAGTCTTTTTGGCTGCTCTTTCCTCCGTAGTTGCTTTGGCTGCCAGAGCCGCCCCTGTGCCTTTTCACTCGCAGCTCTCCCTCCTTCCCTTCTCCTCTCCTGCTCCTTGCCTATGGCGGTGGTGCGCGGCGCCTAACGGTGTGGTTTGGTGGCGCCCACCACACGGCCGCGGCCCCGTCTCCTCCGTCTTCCCCTTCCTCCTGGCTCCCTCTCCCTCCCCCCTCTGCCTCGCCGCTGCTACTTT